ATGGATGAAAAGGTAAAGAGTTGCCTTCAGAAGGGCCATTGTTTTTTATGCAAGATAATGCTCCCTCACATACTGCTCACAAGACTACTGAATATTTGAAACAGTTAGGCTTCAATGGACCTCGAAAAATGAAGTGGCCAGCAAATTCTCTGGATTTGAACCCAATCGAAAACCTTTGGAGCATCATAAAGCGAAGAGTGTACGCCAACGGACGACAATTCAGGAGCAATGCTGAGTTGCGGGAAGCAATTCTTGACATATCTCACAGCATTACAGCAGATGACATCCTACAATTAACAAATTCTATGAATCATTGACTTTTTCAAGTAATTTCAAAACAGGGAAAGAAAGCACATTCCCTATTAATTTGTTTAAAACTGTGCCTTTGTTTTTTATCTGTTATTATTTGTTTGATTATCTTATTTATTAGCTTCTTTTGATGATAAACATTCACGTTCAACATTAATAAACGTTTTGTTTACTCAATTTTGAGAATTTTACTAAACCTTTCTAATAATTTGGCACGCTCAAATCATCGTGCTGATAACAAATATGGTGCCAGTTTGTTTACATTGCGCAGATCAGTACGAAAATTTCAGTGATTGCGCAGGTCAGTGTTGCCAACATTTGTGTGAAAATTTTGTGTGAATTGATTGGACGGTTTTTGAAATGTTAGAAAAAAGTTATCTCGACCATAATTTAGCATGTATATATATAGTGTATATTTTAGTGAGTGGCCAGCAAACTCAAGGGCTTCACCAGAGAGCATACACTCTAGCTGTGCCACTGTTTTCAATGTATGTAAGTCACACACTGATGTGACAAATCTAATTCTTTAAATACTGACAGAATTTTAACTTCTACAGGTAAAAAGGATCCCCATCAGGCCTTCCTAAACTCATTTATTGATTCTTTCTCATCAGAGGTCAATTGAAGACAAAAATGAATTTATTTTATGCATGGTCTAACTTTTTCTCCAATTTCCACATACATATTGACCAATTTTGTTAAATTAATTCTGCCAATGATTGGTCCCTGAAGAAGTGTTGGCCATACGGTACCTAGGTCCATAAAAAAATGATCACAAAATTATTTCTCCTCAGATCCATATATATATATATATATATATATATATATATTTTTAAAGTGTGCTACATTTATGGGATAATGTGCTTAATATCACTAATAAAGCATATTTAAATATAGATATAAAAGTGAACATAGAAGTCAACACTCAGAGGTGACAATAATTATTTAATGCTTTAATGTTAGGGTTAGACTAAAATAGAATTCATTCTAACTAATTAATATTAAATTTTACTATAAAATTCAAAATTAAATATTACCAATTTTAAAATTTAAATTATTATAACCAAGGTTTGTTGTCAAGTTTTTTGAATTCTCATATACTTGTATTTTGATTGGTCATTCCAGCTTATGTAACAGAATTTCTCCTATGAGGGGTGTTTGAGTTATTTGAACCTTTTAAAACCCTTTATTTTACATTCAACACCATCACTTGATAAGACACCAAAAGTGTTGAAACAAAATGGCTATTCTTGTAGTGATTTTATAACATATTTATGTTATAATTTTCAAATAAATAATTATTTATATATATATATATATATATATATATATATATATATATATGAGATAACATCATATATTTTTATATATCAAGAACAGTATTGGGAAAATTTTATGACAAAGTGTAAAAAGTTTACTTGTGATGTGTTTTGTCCTTCAGGATTTTAGCAGGCTAATTTTGTTATGTTGGTTGGACTATGTATGCGCATGGCAAAGGGGTGCTGGGAATTAAATTTCTTTTTTTAGCTGAATTCATGTCACTTCTGAGTGTTGACTTCTATGTTCACTTTTATATATATATATATATATATATATATATATATATATATATCTATATAAAATAATTTGGTCTCAACTTTTAGTCACCATGTGCATTTTTTGTCCTCAATTGAGCTCTGATGAGATAGGACTGATAAACCAGCTTGAATGTCTTTTTTGTTAGTTATGTTATATTTCAATATTACTACTTTCCAGTAATGTTATTTTTTGTTATCGTTTTTTTGCTGCTAATTTTTCATCTTGTTTTAACATGTCTGCTTTTATCATGCTAATAAAATTAAACTCCTTCAGGTACCATGAACACATTCTGTCTTGTTTTTAAATAAAGAAGTTAGTTGGAGAATCAAACCCCCATCCATCTACATCTTTTGGTAAACTCTAACAATAATTCTTTCTTTTTACATTTGAATGCTGGGATCCCTTCTGTTTAACTTCTTCATGTAGACAATATACTACTACAGAATGCATAGGCTGGCCTCAAATAGCTGGTCAGAACTCTAATGACATGAATTGAGTATGTGTCATTTTGGAAAGTACTTATCAATAATATAGTTTCCCTACTCTAGACAATATACTACTACAGAATGCATAGGCTGGTCTCAAATAGCTGGTCAGAACTCTAATGACATGAATTGAGTATGTGTCATTTTGGAAAGTATTTATCAATAAAATAGTTTCCCTACTCTAGACAATATATACTACTACAGAATGCATAGGCTGGTCTCAAATAGCTGGTCAGAACTCTAATGACATGAATTGAGTATGTGTCATTTTGGAAAGTATTTATCAATAAAATAGTTTCCCTCTAGAACAATATACTACTACAGAATGCATTTTCTCAAATAGCTGGTCAGAACTCTAATGACATCATTTTGGATAATCAATAAAATAGTTTCCCTACTCTAGACAATATACTACTACAGAATGCATAGGCTGGTCTCAAATAGCTGGTCAGAACTCTAATGACATGAATTGAGTATGTGTCATTTTGGAAAGTATTTATCAATAAAATAGTTTCCCTACTCTAGACAATATACTACTACAGAATGCATAGGCTGGTCTCAAATAGCTGGTCAGAACTCTAATGACATGAATTGAGTATGTGTCATTTTGGAAAGTATTTATCAATAAAATAGTTTCCCTACTCTAGACAATATACTACTACAGAATGCATAGGCTGGTCTCAAATAGCTGGTCAGAACTCTAATGACATGAATTGAGTATGTGTCATTTGGAAAGTATTTATCAATAAAATAGTTTCCCTACTCTAGACAATATACTACTACAGAATGCATAGGCTGGTCTCAAATAGCTGGTCAGAACTCTAATGACATGAATTGAGTATGTGTCATTTTGGAAAGTATTTATCAATAAAATAGTTTCCCTACTCTAGACAATATACTACTACAGAATGCATAGGCTGGTCTCAAATAGCTGGTCAGAACTCTAATGACATGAATTGAGTATGTGTCATTTTGGAAAGTATTTATCAATAAAATAGTTTCCCTACTCTAGACAATATACTACTACAGAATGCATAGGCTGGTCTCAAATAGCTGGTCAGAACTCTAATGACATGAATTGAGTATGTGTCATTTTGGAAAGTACTTATCAATAATATAGTTTCCCTACTCTAGACAATATACTACTACAGAATGCATAGGCTGGTCTCAAATAGCTGGTCAGAACTCTAATGACATGAATTGAGTATGTGTCATTTTGGAAAGTACTTATCAATAATATAGTTTCCCTACTCTAGACAATATACTACTACAGAATGCATAGGCTGGTCTCAAATAGCTGGTCAGAATTCTAATGACATGAACTGAGTATGTGTCATTTTGGAAAGTGCTTATCAATTAAATAAAGGAATAGTTTCCCTTATCTAGGTTTAACAGGGGTAGATATTTTCCTATCATCCAGTTCAAACTCAAATGTATGTGGCTTAACAGCCAAGCATCACATTTGTCCACATTCTTTTGAAAAGGAATAGAGGTTTATCTCTCTTTCTTGTGTTTAGGACTGGGTCTCCGGTTATTTCTGAAGTATATTTCACCTCTATACTTCTAATGTCTCCACCAAAACTGTAAAATTTTATTTACTAATTATTTAATTATGCTTTCTACTCCTCAACAGGAGTGGATAAGTTCACCAATCACCCAATTCACACTCCTCCCTGGCCTTTTGAAGAGGAATAGAGGTTTATCCTTTGTTTCATGTTTAGGATTGGTTTTCTCCTTCTTTCTAAAATCTTCTCATTCACTCTCAGTAGCTCCTTGCATCTTAGTAGCATTATAGCCTTTCTTGGGGTGAATTACTTAAAAAAAATTAAATACTGGATTAAACCAGATTATATTCCTTATATTCAGTCTTACAGAGGGGTAAAATTCTTAATATTAAACTTGGTAAAGGCACAGTTTCCTTTAACTGTAATATTGGACCAATCTGTCACATCTTTGGTGTTTTTACATTGATTTACACTTAGTTGTTTTCTGTTGTGTTTAGTATACAGAATCTAGTATGTTCTTGCTTATCTTTATTTTGTGAGATTGATTAGTCTACAAGAATGCTTTATCCAAAATCATGTTTATGATCCTTTACTGTAATATAGGCATGTGCTTTGGTGATGCACTCGGCCTGGTTATCGACTTTCAATTTAGATGTCAAATACTTGGCTTCTGTGTTTATTTAATGTTCCACATCATTCAGTGCCTTTCTATAAAACTTCTGTAATCTCTTCCTCTCATAACATTTTTATATATGTTTGGCTCCATTTTGCTGTTTTATATATTTTCCCAGATTTATCAGCTGGAACAAAGACATCTGTCAATTTATATATATATATATATATATATATTGTATATATGTATGTATATATATATATATTGTGTGTGTGCGTATTAATAATAACACCTATTGATATGCATAAAATTATACAATTTAATGATTATCAAAGTGAGCAGAATTTTGTTAATAATTATTACCAATTCTTTTTTATTTATTAATAATATATATATATAAATATATATATATATATATTGGTAGGCAGGCAGATAGATTTATAGATATATAGACAGACAGATAATAGATATGAACAAACTGAGATCAATAGGAAAAGAGATGAGATGAATTTAGATATATAGATAGATCAGAAGAGACTGTGATAGATAGATAGATAGATAGATAGATAGATAGATAGATAGATAGATGAAAAGCTTGAGATGGATAGATACAGAGAGAGAGATATGAAAAGATGGAGATAGATAAATAGATGGAGAAAGATATATAAAGACTAAGATAGATAGATAGATAGATAGATAAACATGGACTGAGATAGTAGATAAATATGAACAGAGTAAGATAGAGAGAGAAAGAGTGAGGGATATGGACTGAGATAGATAGATAGATAGATAGATAGATAGATTGGCTGAGATAGATAGGTAGAGAGAGAGAGCAAAAGATATGGGATGAGACAGATAGGTAGAGAGAGAGATATTTAAATACTTAGATAGATAGATAGATAGATAAACATGGACGGAGATAAATAGGTAGATAGATATGAACAGAGTAAGATAGAGAGAAAAAGAGTGTGGGATATGGACTGAGATAGACAGAGAGAGAGAGAGAGAGGCTGAGATAGACAAGTAGAGAGAGAGAGTAAAAGATATGGGCTGAGACACATAGGTAGAGTGAGAGATATTTAAAGACTGAGATAGATAGATAGATAGATAGATAGATAGATAGATAGATATGAAGAGAATAGATAGATAGTTATGAACAGACTGAGAGAGAGACAGATGAAAACAATAAATAACATAATTAGTGAGCCTGAGTAAATAGATGGCAGAACAGGATTTAGGAGAAATAACAAAAAGACAAGATTTATTAAGAGCTACAAAGGACATGAAGTTGTGGAGAGCCATAATTGCCTATGTCCTGAGGGAACACAACACATAAAGAAGAAGAATGATTCATTCCCAAATTATAAAAGGTGTCTTCGTACACCTTAAGAAAGTGGATGTGCTAACAGCGAAAACAAAAAAAGAGTTCTACAATTCAAACATTTAGAACTGTCAGCTCATTCATCAAATATTTAATGAAAAAAGTTTCAAGTTATTATTGATAATAGTGGAAAACACCAGGTCATTGATATATGAAAGAAAAAATAATCATGTGTTAAAAACAGACTTAAAATAATTACAAAAGTTTGAAAAAGGATAAGATTTTAATAATAAAACCAAAAAGAATAACAGCAATTCATTTATAAAAACTGTACTTAATTTGCAAACGTTCAATCTATGATTCTTCTTTTTCTATGTACCGTGTCGTTTCAGAACGTGGGTAATCATAGCTCTCCACATCTTCCTATCCTTTTACTATCCTTCCCACATCCTGTTCTGCTATTAAGTTATAGAAAAAAAATGCTATTTCCAATACAGTTACATACCCACATATATTCCATATTAAAACATACCCAAATTTTATTTTCTATCCAATAACTGACAATATTTACAAACATGTCAAAAAGATTTCACACACCATTTAAATCAAAGTATCTACTAAGAGTCTTTTCTAAAGTACCAGATTTTCTATGGACCAACTACTCAAAGACTTTAACTCAATTAAAAAACCTTTTTTATTCCTTTTTGACTCTTTTGAATTCATGTAAATATGTTTGGAAATACAAATGATTTATTTAACAGGCATGAGACCATGTTTTCTTTATTTATATTTTATTATTGTTTGAAATTCGAATGTTTAGATTTTTAATATAAAAAAAACTGGATGATAGAATTTCCTACAAAGTTCAACTCTCCCTCTTGCCTTGAGAGTATCAAATTTTCTGAACCTTCTTTCTTCATTATTTGTCTTAGAAATTTCAATTAGCTCTTTCATATTTCATTTTAATATATAATTGTCTTTTTTGTTTCCCTTTTCCTTCAAAGTTCTTTGGTTTACATACTCTGTGAATGGTATTTTTGGCATCCTTCTGTTAAACCATATTTCTGCTGCCTCCAGTTTTTTCTTCATCTGTTAGGAAATGTCCAGCATTTATTGCCATATAGGATTACTGATATTGCACAAGAGTTCAGGACTGTGTTTCTGATAAAAAATCTAAATGGCTGGCTGCTTATATCTGAGTAGGCCTGTCTTCTCAGGCACATTTGTGTTAGTTCAACACCCACATAGTCCACCTGTGGTTTATGCTAAAAACTATACGGAGTGAATCTTAGTTACGGTTTCTGGGAGAGAGTGCATTATCTGGTGGGATATTATTGTGGTAAACCCTCCTGCAGTAGAATGAACTCTTCCTATTCTCATCTTACTTATTATAAAACGCAGATTATTGTGTGTATGTGTGTCTGTATGTTTATATATTGGATCGGATTTCCAAAATTTTTCAACCAATTTCAACAAAACTTCACAGGACTATGTAAAATTACCTTACGGTGGTTCTGACAGCGCCAAAAATTGGAAAACACAATTTTTTTTGCACAAAATCAATTTGAAAACATGATTCTGTCGCAAGAATGAAAGGGGGACAACTCATATCGAGTTATACCTATTATAAAACCCAGGTTGTTTGTGTGTGTGTGTGTGTGTGTGTGTGTGTGTGTGTGTGTGTGTGTCTGTGTTCATTTATATATGGGATCGGATTTCCTAAATTTTTCAATCTATTTCAACAAAACTTCACTTTTTTTTAGCAGGAAGTGTTTTGTATTGTCTTGCGCACTTTTTTCTTTATTTTTACATTCAGAATGCTTTAAAAATTCCATTTACAAGACAATTGTTTATAATAAAATTCTATTCAATCGGTAGACTCATAACGATTGAAAACAATGTTTTTGTTTGCGTTTGATCAATTCGTAAAAAAAAAGAAAGAAAAAAAAAACAATTAAAAAAAGCTAATTAAGACATGCGTGTCCGTCAACCTTAAACAATAATCTTTGTCAATTTGATTTTTCAGTCTTTATGATGGTCGATACTTGATCTATCTCTTACTGTTACATCCCCGGGCAACGCCAGGCTCTACTGCTAGTAAATACTAACTGCAAGACTTCTTAGCAAGAATCATTGAGCAGTCATTGGACAGCCAAGATGCAGTGTAACCTGATTGTTATGACAGACATTTCTATCTGCTTATTACTAACACTCTTACTTTGTATATATCTGTTATTTCAATACACTTATTCAACCTACCTTCATCTTCCGTGTCTTTCTTTTCTGGACCCTAAACAGATATACAGTTTGATCTAGCCAAGCACATTCAAACTCTCGGTCACAATGACTAGCACAACCATTGACACCTTACAAATAGTTCAGTCTACCCAATTTCACACACAAGGCTTGGATCAACCTGTGGAATAGTTTTCAAGCCAATAACATCAAGAAGTTACCTTCATGACAAATCAACTATGGTGAGACTTGAACCCTGGTCTCATGGTCAGAAAGTGAATGTACTAACCCCTTGGCCATGTACCCATGTATGTAAATAATAATCTAATGAATAGAGATATACCATTTTTATTTATACAGATATTTTTATCATTATCACTAAAACAGAGAGCCAGTGGGAGCTATGAATAGGGGATATCAAGATGGGAAGTTGTGGAGAGACATGATTACCCATGTCCTGGAAGTGTACAGCAAATGAAAGAAGATCCCTACTTTTCAGTGTTCACTTTATTTTCACAAAAGGACGACCATTACTGTTGTTTTCTCCATTATTTGAAATAACGTAAAACAAGGAAGTAATTACAACTAATTTATATAGGAAAAAATCTTTGTCCATTCTTAGCCAGCTCCCATAAGACCCTAGTCCCCCAAATAATATTATTATAGACAAGCGTATGGTTGCAAGAAGGAAATACAACAACAGCAGAAATAGATTTACGTGATTTATTTCAATAGGAACGTGTGCTTTTGGGACAGCTACCTTGTGGTATAGTTCCTAAGCCGGCTCCCGGTCTGGGTTGATCTCTCATAGTGGTTCACACTGGTTGGCGTGACACTCCTCCTGCTGACTGCTGCTGACTGACCATGACAGGTCTCTTCCCTAGACTCCTGTTGACTGCTGTTGTACTTCCCCGTGTGACCCCTTTTATGGCATTTTTTATGGCTTAACAGGCTCGTAAAACAATGCGAGTATAATTAGGAGGGAAGCATTTTTATTGGTCAAAAAATAGAAACACTTTAAAATATTATTTTATTTTTCAACCGGAACTCGTGCATCGGGCCTATGCATAGATGACGATAATGGTTATTTTGTGACAGGGCCTTGTCCCATTCACATCTGGCTCTTGCTCTTAAATATGTTAGTTTATTTGCCTGCAAATCAGCCGAGATATGTCTTTATATATTTTATTTTATAACAATATCCTGCTTGAGCTCAGGTCAATGGTTAAGATTTATTTTCTGTGGCTGAAGTGTAAAAATTTTTTTTTAATCCTATTCACCCCAAGCAAGGTGATAGCACCACTGAGATGCAAGGGGATACTGCAAGTGAAAATGAATGAGAAGAATTTAGAAAGTACTGAAAACCCAATCTTAAACAGGAAACAAGGAAAAAAACCCTTTATTTCTGTTCAAAAGACTGGGGAGGAGTGTGAATCAGGTAATGGGTGAAGCTATCTAATCCTATTGAGGAAAAGAAAAAATAATTAGTAAATAAAATTTCACTGTTCAGGAGATGTTAGAAGTTGAAATAGACTTTAGAAGTAACCAGAAACTCAATGCTAACCTGGAAACAAGGGATAATACTCTACTCCTGTTCAAAAGAATGTGGTTGAATGTGATACTTGACTCTTAAGTCATACGTTTTCCTACTTAATAGTTTTTTATGAGCACTAAAAATATATTGTTAACCTGCTTCAAATGTGCTGTTGGGTTTGCCAAATATATGTGGACAGCCTTGGTAGTATCTGCAATTGGTACAGATATTTACACAAACATATATTATAAAAGACTACTGAGAAAAAATAGGTAAAACCTAAGTGAACTTATTTATTTTTTACAAAGTAAACATGTTAATGAAGTATAAAATTGCAATATATTCCTTCTCCCTAACTCTGAAAATGGAATCAAGTGGATCTTGCAAAAACTGTTTTTACTCACAGGTTCAGTACATCATATCACTAGAGGTTATGTTTACTCATGTGTAATATAGTAATAACTCTAAATAAAGACTTATGAAGCTTTATTTGACTAATTCAGATTCAGTACTGATAACCTTTATTTTATTATAGTGGATGGTTACAAAGAAGAGGAGAAACAGGAAGTGCTTATTTTATTCCCACACCATAAATCTACTCTTCATAGCATCTATCCCAAATCTGCTCTCAAAAATGACTGGGCTTCATTGATTGTACACTATTTACATTATTTGGACTATTGTCCTCATGTTTGTCGCCATATTTATTATTACAATGTTTCGGTTGTTGTACGCTCCAGCCTTCTTCAGGTGGTTGGTATGTCGAACTGAACCCTTTATTTTGCTCACCGGGGTAGACTGTTCTAGTTCCATGTGCCATGGATGTCAGTTATCAGTTATCTTCTGTTAATTCTCCTGTCCAAGTTCTCCACTGCCTTAACCGGGTATTGAACTCACACTCTTTGGGTCCTGTCACTGGAGCTAACCAATGCCTTTATCCACTGTGCCATGTGTCCTTGAGGACATCTGTATAAGAATTTCTGGGTATTATAATGTAAATAGTGTACATAATACCTCATCTCAGAAATATAGACAGATACATCACTGCTTGGCATTTAAGGGTCACATGACCAGCCGAGCAAGGTGCATATTGATTGGAAAGCAGA